CAGATAACTACAACTAGGTTCATTATGCTTCTCAAAATTAAAAAAAAAGAAAAGAAAAAAGGCACCTAACCCAACAGCAGGATCTCTTCCTCATTATTTCTCACAGCACCTTGAAAGAGGCGTGTTTGCAGCAATTTTTTAAAATGAAAGCATGTAAGTTTTATAACAAACACCACTCTAAAAACCAGAGGGAGAGAGGGAAGAAGGAAATCTGTAAACTGTCATCATATACTTGTGGACAAAGCAAAAACTAACCAGAGACATATGCAGGCACATGAGGAATGAACCAGTTGTCCTTTTAAGGATGTACTGAAAAACAAGATTTATTACACATTAATCCAAATAGCTTAGACGTGCTTGCAAAGTGCACTTGAGTTGCTTGTGCCTTAAACTCCCACACCAGCTAAAACAACTGGAGCAGCGGTGCTTAACCTTTTTTCCCTAGAGGGCCAGAAGGGCAGATCCCAGTGTTTCGGATCCAGAGTCCAGGGCCCACACAGCAGGGCCCCATCTGGCCACGCAGGGGAGGCGGCAGGGTAACCTGGCCCTACAGGAGTTGCGTGGAGAAGGGAGAAGGCTGCTATGGGTCTGACTCCAATCCGGACCCAAGCTGAGGGCAGGAGTCAGAACTGCAGCAGCCATTTGCCCCCTTCCCCTCCTCCACTTTGTATGCAAATTTAAGCCAAGGAGCTCCCCTCCCCAACACACACACAGACGCGCACACACACCCTTTGTTGACTGGAGGAAAAAACCTGGTCTTAGATTCAAATAAATACAGTATATCAATTGTAAAAAGAATCTGATCACAGATAAGAACTAGTAAGCAACAACCATACTTATAGAAACAGACAACAAAATCCAAACAAGTCAAACTTCCATTTTTGACTTAAGAGTAACACTACACAATACCAGTATTTTAAAAATATTCTAAATTTGATCCATTAATAAAATACTGAAAACAAGTGGCTATAAAGAATGCATTTAACTAGTGCAGTCTCAGAATCTCATTAAGCTTATAGATCACCTACAAGATTATGTACAACTGAACCAATATCCAGATGGGAAATCTGGCCACATCTACTTGCAATGTGACAACCCATCAGTGTTTCCCCACGTAGGTGGCATGGAAAATATTATTTTAAAAGAAGAGCCCATTATGTCACTAAGTGAAAGAACAAACAAAAAAGATACTAAAAAAACAAACAAAAGATTTTCTGGTAGAAGATGAGTGTCATTCTGAGACTGAAGTCCTTTGACATGGTAGCCTTAGCAGCTTTAGAAAATTATTCCATTAGAGCATTTTGGTGCAGGCGAGGAAAGGGAAGATGTAAGCAGGAAGAGAACATCTGCAACAGTCTCTGTTTGAATACAAGGTACATTCTTGACCTCTCATTTTGCTTCTTTAAAAGAAACTGGATCAGCAAACGCAATGAAAAGCAGTTTGCTGTTATAGCATTATGATCCTGTCATAATGCCTTTCTTTTTTTACAAAGTGTAAGGACAGTTTACGCCAAATTCGTGCCGAGGTGAGGAGTCATAGTTTTAAAGATGTACTGAGATTTTAGTTAAATGTGTTCTTTTGTATGCTTCAAAATAAGTAACACTTACTTCTTCATTTTAAGAAAAAAAATAGGTGGTGCTCTCACATTTTGTTATTGCAGAACAAAGCAAGTAGTATGCCCCCTCAGTAAGAACTTCATTGAACAAAATAAAACATTTCTGTCACTCAGTATAAAGAGCATATGTTAAAATAATCCCAGTAGTAGCTTTAAAAGAATAAATACATCAGTAGTTCTAGATGAATGCAGTAGCATAACATTTTTGTCAAGTAAACATTGTTTGCAATGCAACTATGACTACTCAAAGTTATTATAAATCATAAGTTATAATCATAAATGTAGTACAATATCAACCAAGAGCTCAACTGCTGACTCTTCTTAAGATAGATGATGCAAGATATCGAAACTATCTATCTATATATTTATATAGACATTTAAAAAAATTAAGATCTCAGCCCATAAATGACACCCTTGTATAAACTTAAACACACCCTCCCTGCCAAGTTCAGAAATAAAAAGGTTTTCACTGTAATTCTGAATTCACTGGGGATGCAATATGAGCCAGCAGTTAGAATGGCAACAGAACTAAAAGAACTGGGTCTTCTTCTCAAGTGACAACTTGTGTGCCTAAAATTTCCCCATTGAAAAAACCAGGATCATTACTTCACTCTTCAAGACTATCAGGATACACAGCACTGTTAGTGCAAAGGATAAAGTCACAAAACAAACAAAGAAAAGGCAACTTCTTCCTCCTTTCACCCTTATGACCATTCATTTTTATTTCTTATCTGTTGTTCCATTTTTTTTTAACTTTGGTTACAGCAATTATTTTCAGTGAGGATCCTTTAAAGGGTGCCATGGGCTGTGAAAAATAAGTACTGGTAGGTGAATCACATGTAGATGTTTGCATACAAATCCAGAGATTTTAAATAGGAATTCATAGTGTAAAAAGTATGTGGTCTTTCTGAGTTTTCTACAACAGAAAAAACTGCTCTGTTATGTTTCCAGAGTCAAAAAGAGTGAAAGCTAAGAGCTGGTATTTTCCAAGGGGTACCTTGAGTCTAAAAACTTGAGAGCCACTGGGCTAAGGCATGATGTATGTTATTAAGGTATACCTATTTAATTAATACAACTCAACTGGCACATGTTGTAGATATGCTTAAACTAGTATGACCACCTCCAGTTAGTTTAGCTTAACTTGGTAACTTATCTCTGCAACCTAAACAGCTTAAATAAAGGTTAAACGGATTTACTGTACAGTATTATGTTAGGGGTTTGCACAAGCTTAGCTTGTTGACTTTAAGTTGATTTGAGATTAAATGCCTCTAATATAGATAAACCCTTCATTTATTGTGACACCCAGAATTTTTCATAAACCAATTCTGAACTTAAAAATGACTTACGGCAGAAACTAGATAGAAGAACATTGTCAGCAATCATTTTCATTTGTAATGAGAAGGTTGCACTGTGTATTAGTATCTAATATCCAAACAAACCAACCCAAAACATTTAAAAAAATGAAAAATGTTAAGTTGCAAGTATTATTAACAGTATACTTGCCTCCATATAAAAAGGTATTATTGCCTTTTACAGAAGTATCACAGAGGGGGGGAAAAAAAATCCATGAAATCTTCCATCTCGAGACCTGAAAAAGTTCAGCATATGCTCCTCACAACTGGCATTATGGATTACCCTAAACTTTGTAAAGCTTCAAGTAAACTTAGATATATCTGAGACAAACCAACCTTATGGTGACAATAAAACTTCAAAGTTCATTTAACTTTAAGTGAAGCAGTAAAGAAACTGCCACTGCCTCATGCCATTGTCTATACGCCCTTGGCATTCTATAATTGTTGTTTTCATGGCGCTATAACAAATACTGCAAGTATTTCATGAATTGCTAAGTTTAATTTTCCAGAACTGCCACAACCAAAGCAGCCCACATAAAATCTTCTCCATCTTACAAACATCACCAGGGAAGGGGGTGGAGGGAATCCTATTTCAAAAACATCTAGTAAGATTGCTAGAGGTAAAATGGACATCAGTAATGCACCAAAAAAACCAACATAAAACTTCCTACATGCCATATACAAATAATCATTCACTCATTTCATTTGAAGAGGAAAGAAAAGGGGGGGGGGCGGTAAAAAAATAATCAGACACTCTATAAAATTTTAATAATCAGTCACCTGAAGTCTGAAAGAAAATCTGCTACCTCCAAAAAGCAGCCAATAAAGGTTAACCCTCTACCCAAAAGAAAGGGAAAGTGCTCTCTTGCTCACTGAAAGCAAGCCTAAAATACATAGCACAAAAACCTACTTCCACACAAATAGCTTCAACATTGCTGTTTCACAAATCAATTTCTGCACAAGAGTAGCCAAGGTTACTACCCAAAATAAAGAAACAGCGTGAGAGAGACACTGATAAAATGGAATATATTAAAAGGAATAAACCACCATAGAAGTCATCCTAGATGCTGATTATTAAACCTGACTGTATGCATAAGGCTCAACATTTCTACATATGGAAGTTACAACACAAAAATTCTCTTACAAGACCAGTAACTAGAGAAAACTCCACTCTTCCATTCCTTTGTTCTCTTAACAGCATTGAGATCATTACCCAGAATTTCCTTAAGAAAACACTAAAACAAAAGAAAAGGGGTGTTCAAATTTCTAAAAAAAAAAATCAACTGGTTATCAGAAGCCTGTATTTACAGCATAATATTCATCAGCAGTCATTTCCAAGGTCAGAATTACACATGTAGGTTCTTGGAGATACATATTTGCGTGTTATTTTTAACATCCAACTGTGCATCTTGTGGTCACATAAGCTCCACAGTGTTTACAAATAGCTTGGGGGTTTTACTACACATCGTGTCACAGCAAACAAAAGAGCACATTTTAAATGTACAGGTAGTGCAGAGATCAGCACCCCTCTGGAACCTAAGGATTAGCATGGCCACCACTTGCCCAGCCTTCCCGCAGCAATTAATTTTAGTAGTAGCAGCAACATGAATTCAATGAGTTGGCACAGTGGTGGAGGGGGCGGCACACATAGTGGTAATGTTAACCACCCCCAAACCGTAAATTTGATGCCCCAGGCTTAAAAAGTTTAAAAATCCACCACTATGTAACGAGATTCTACAACTGTTCTGTTATCAGCTCCCACAAAAGGTCAAAAGATCTCTCACACAGTTGCTATATGAAATGCCTCTTAAAAATGACGAAATCATGTTCAGTTCTCAGCTGCTTCCTCACTCACCATTATACACTGCTAATTTCAGGAACAGCAAGGGTGAACTTTAAAAAAGTGACACGTGAAGTTACAGCACTTTACTTCTACTGTGACCATTGAGTTCATACTTAAATTCATGCACGCACATTAACTACATACTGTAACAATAAAAAACAAAAAAAGAGGGAGGGCAAGACAACTTACCCACACAAGCATTTAGAAACAGCCAATCAGTCTTTTTCATTCTGTTTTTTATTTGTTTTAATTTTTTGAAGTCAACTTCAAGTTCCTCCTTGCTGCCAACCGCTCCAGCCAATTCAATTCTTTGGAAGTCCATTTTTACCTCAGATTCACGTTTGGTTGTAGGAGGAGATCTTCTTTGGCTGTTACCACTACTGCAGCTTCCCCTCCATCGAGCTCTGTCTTGCTCATTTATGATTGAAGAAGCCTCTTCTGTCTCTGCCAGTTCTATTGCTTCTATGTTGTTAGGTCTGGGATGATCACATACAACACACTTTCTGGCCTTTGCCCAGTTTTCATATGTACAAACAGAACAAGTCCAATGTTGTGCCCTCGTGTTCAGTTTATTTCTATCGTTATATTCCTCACAAGGATCAACAGATAAGGGGACTGGTCTTGATCCAGAACCTGAAGATTGAGGGGACTCTGTAGGACTCCTGGTCCTGCGCTGAGATAAGCACTGAGTGCACCTGATCGCCCTGGGCCAGTTCAAGTACGTGCACATGTGACAAGACCATTTATTTGCACTTTCCATACTATACGATGATTTAACCCTTGGTCTTGCACTAGAGTCTGGACATATCAAAGGGCTGCTTCCTCCTTCAATGCTCGTAGGATCCCAGTCTCTGCCAATATCACTTGAACCACTCTTGAATGGATCTTCTGTGATAATTGTTCCACTAGGTCTCTGAGCACGACACATGGTACACTTGATTGCAGACGGCCAATTTTCATACGTACAATACTCACAAGCCCATTTAATTCCACGTTCTGTCATTGTGCACTTCTTGAAGTGATTTTGTCAGACAGAAAGCTATAAACAGGTAGAATTATTAAAACGTGAGTGTATACCACCCAAATTCTGAAAAGAGATTTCTTATTTTAAGACTACTTTATTACATTTAACTCAACTTGATATGCATTAGTCCAAGTACCAAAAAAAAATTTTTCTGATTACTGGGCCTTCAGGAGACTGCAGATAGCTTAAATTAATGTTAACATTACAATAAAAAGATCAAGAAACCTCACATTCTGCATTTTTACTGAAGGGTCTGGAACGTCACAAAATAAAATAAAAATGGGACCACATTCCTGATTTTGAGTCTATATATAGAATTTAAGATTCATAAACAGATTTCAAAGAACAAGTGTATGATGCAGAAATTATATATCCTTACTAGCCTGCTCTTCCACAGTGAAAAGAACACACTGGGCTAACAGATAGTGGATGGAGAGGGGAAAAGTAGGAAAACTGGTCATGAACATTAAAAATAAATTAGAAATATAATTAATATGAACACAATATAGAAAAATAACATTTAAACTATGAAAAATCCCCGTCTTAAAGGTCATATACGTTCAATCGTAAAAACAAAATTGGGGTAAGTTTATTAGATCAGGCAGTAATTTTTCTGAAGTGGTGGTCACACAATATATTTAACCTGATCTATTTGTATTTGTTCAACATTATTCCAAAGAGAAAGCTAAGAACAAGCTACAGGCTAATATATCAACCATATTACAATCCAGATTTCAGTCCTACTGCAGTAAACAAAAAAAACCCAAAATAATACAATAAGAGTCAGACCCTTACCTTTTCTCTAATGAAGAAGAGATTCTGTCTTCATGCTGGCTCAGACCTTGTCCTCATCAGACTGCTAAATGTGACGGATGAGACTGCGAACAAGTATCTCTGTAAACAAGACAAGAAATGTTTAATTAAAGCTTCACACTGGACTTGAGCAACTTGAAAAGCAGCACTCTGTATGCCACTCCCATTCTTACCCCAGCCTGCATGTTTAAACACTGGCACAGCCTGGTGAGTGAAATTATCCAAGTAAGTCTGACACTGATCAATTTAAGAAATATACAAGCATGAAGTAATTCAACTTTCATTAGAATCAGCTCAAATAGCAGAACTAAAATTCACACAATTTGAACTGACACAAAAATGTCTATGGATTCCCCCTACTTGTATTAAAGTCTCAGCCAAGTAGATGTCAAATAATGGGTTTTGATTAGACAGGCTGTAACAACTACAAAGTATATTCCTTGCACTAATAAAGACCAAATTTGCTGTTCACTATATAAAACTAACTGTATCTATCATTTCCACACATTTAACCTTCTCCACACAAGGATTAGTTCAACTGGCAGTTTTCATACTCTCTATGATCTTACTACTGTTGTTTAGAAAGGAGAAAAGTCTAGTGAACAGCAGACAGTCAAGGATATGCAAGTTACATTATAGCTTTTACTCAAATACAGACCATACTAATTTTAACTCCTGTAAAAGCGTTAGTTTATGTTGATTCTAGATGCAGAAACCCAGTTATGTAATAAGTACTGTATTCGTTAAGGAAACAGTTTCAAAACCTCATGATCTACTGAAACAACCTTTCTAAGTCTCACTTCTCTGCCATCAAAAACTCCTTGGTTGTTTGCACACTAACTGACAACAGAAAGTCAATCTATCTAGCAGTATGAAAGAAAAGCTTGTTAGCTCTTAAATTACAGTCGCTCTGGCTCCAGTACTGTTTGTCTGACCAGCCCAGAAAGTAAACCCCTCCTGACTCCAAGATGCATTATAAAGCCACGATAGGAACATATGGATTGGGTAGGACTATCAAAGTGTTATCGTCGCATGGTTCGCAGAAACAATTCCCTCGACTGGTCTTAGAAACCGTGCAAAGGCCTTAGCATACATTGGGGGGGGGGGGGG